AGAAAGAATAAGTTAACTGTAAAAAAAAGTAAAAAAAAAACTTAACAAAATAAAAAGAATTTGCTCCCTCACACTCCTTTCGAAAACCGAAGTGATTACATTAATCACTCCTAAATTCACAATTTTCGTATTCTTACTTTTAAACTGTCTCATTACACTGACATTATGAATCCTTTACAGTTTCAGTACAGATACCTTACAAAGAAAAATAATTCATGTTCTTGAATCTTCTCTACTTTGCTGTTCTGGTTCACTTTACATAAAGTGTTCGAAATTCGACGAAACATACAGATCAGTCATCTACGTCCTCTACTTAACATGAGTGGTCTTTGAAGGATGAGAAGTGTCCACACCAGAATAAGTCCTTTATTTTGATGGAGGGGGTTGCAATCTCAAAGCCTTCTTCCGCCATTCAAATTTTCTGCAACGGCAGAGGACGATGACAATTTCCTCTGGTGTCGACAGAATTTACTAGAAAAAATATTTATTTTAGACACGTAAAATTGTCATATGATTAACATGATATAATGTAATTTATATAGAAATGGAGTAACACGAGTGGTAACTTCGAATACTCCATACAATATTAGAATAAGATTTACTACAGAATATAACCGATGTATTAACGATAGCAGTGAGTTACCTACTTTTGTCCAAAAGAGAGTAATGAGAGTAAGCTTGTCGCTGTAGCTTCCGGTGTTTTCCAACGTTGGATATTGTCTTCTGTATAACATTTATAGATAGGTCTGTTCGTTTATCTACGGTTGCAGGTGATGTTAAGTATTGTTTTCAAAAGTCCTTGTTTGACCCCTTGTAAGCTATCAAATAGCTTGCATACAGTTTATGAATGAGCCCATGGCCAGAATTTCCCACTAACACGAAAGAACAATATACCATGAATAACAGTTTATTTTTATAAATAAACAGAAAAATGAACGGGAAAAAAACGTGTATAAAACTTAAAACAATAACACTATCACTATCTCACGTGGGAAAAGTTACCGAAACTCATGATAAAGTATTTATTCAAAAGATTAAAAAAACATTAAGAATTTTGAAACATAAATATCTACAAGTCACCGGTAATGGAAACTGGTGTCAGTCTCATAAAATTTTAGAAGCTCTAAATGACGTAACTGATTAGAATGCGAAGTAGCGTTTAAACGTAAAACAAATGTTACAGATAAACTAAATAGAAATAATAATAAATGAACAGAAAATAAAAAACATAACGAAATTAAAGTAGAATTTGCTACCTCGTATTCCTTCCCTGTTCGAAAACCAAAGTGATCACATTAATCACTTCTTATAAATTACCAGTTTTAGTACCCTTACTATTAATGATCTCATTATACTGACACCATGAATCCTAACCAGTTTAAGTACATATACCTTACAAAGAAAATACTTAATGTTCTTCGATGTTCAGCTTCTCTACCTTCTGCTCAGATTCAGGTTAAGGAAAATTAAGTCCAAAGACCATTTAAGCTACAATAATTAACTAGTTAGACCAACAGATATAAAATGATGTGATTATTATTTATATACTCCTTAACAACTTTAACATCTATAAGTCACCCCTATGGAAAGATAAATTGAAATTTAAAATTGATGCGAATAACTAAAATGCAAACGAAAAATTCACACATTAACTAAATGATGATAGGATGAATAATAAACAAACGGTAAACAAATCGAAAACAAAATAGAATTAAACTTACTACCTCACACTCTTGGTGTGAGATAGCATATTCTTTTGTTATTTTGTTATGGATTTCTTTACCGTTCATTTATTATTCATTCTATCGTTTAGTTAACCTCTGGATTTTTATTTGCACTTCAATGCTAACTCACGTTCTAGCTAATCTCATCAATTTTGAATTTACGTGAATTATGATACTGACATCGGTTTCCCCTTATCAGTTACGTACAGATATTAATATTGGTAAAGAGTATGTACAAGATTTGTTATTTAAATGTTACAAATTAACTGGTCTTAGAACTATAACTTCGTTAAGCTGAACTAGAACCGAAATAGACAGTCGAATATATATAAAAATGGTTTCTCCTTGTACTATATCTGTAGTTAAACCGTGTAGGATGTCAGAATAACGTTACAAGTAAGGATTTAATTTTAAAATGAATAATGTAATCACTTCTAAAGGGGTCCTTCCACTTTAGACAAAGAATGTGATAATATTAAATTACTGCTTATAAATTTCCAATTTTCGTATCCTTATTTTTAAGGCCCTCGTTATACTGATATCATGAATCCCTCATAGTTAAGTACAGATACTAGGACAAATTGTTTATGTTCTTAAGTCTAAAGATTGATTTTTAATTTCCTGCTCTGGTTTATCATACAGCGAGTACTTGAGTTTGAAGACCATCTAGGTTGGGCAGATGACACAAACAACTCGTTAAGTCGAAGGATAAAATGTGGACACGTCAAAAGAATTTCATTTCTTTGGAACTGGGGTGGAGGCACTCTTCAAGCTTTCTGTCGCCACTTTTTTCTACAACGACATAGAACGATGAGCATTTTCTGATAGAGAAATAATTATCTTTTCTTCAATTTAGACAAGTAAAATTGTTCTACCATTAAACAGATTTTTTTTAATAAAAAAAGAAAGGGATTACATTAATCACCGTTTATAAATTCCCAATTTTCGTATCCTTACTTTTAAGGACCTCATTATACGGACACCACGAATCCTGACCAGTTTACGCTTTTTCTTTAAGGTATATGTACTTAGTGTTCTCAGATCTTCAGCTTCTCTACCTTCTGCTCCGATTCAGGTTACTGGAAGTTAAGTCCAAAGACCAGCTAAGCTACAATAGACTATTTCGATCAAGAGATTTAAAGTCATTATTTACATACTCTTTAACAACATTAACATCTACAAGTCACCGTTATGGGAAACTGGTGTCAGTCTAATGACTAAAATTGATGTGAATAACTAGAATGAGAATTAGCGTTTACAAGTAAAACTAAATAGTCACAGCTTAACTAAATGAGAGAATGAATAATAAATGAACGGTAAAAAACATCTATAGGTATATAAAAATTAAAAACTTTTTACCTCACACTCCTTCCTCCTTAAAAAAGGGAATTACATTAATTGTTTAAAATTCTAAATTTTAGTATCCTTACTTTTAACGCCCTCATTATATTGACATCGTCAATCATTAACAATTTAAATACAAATACCTTTCAAGGCTAAATCATTCCCTTTTCTTCTATATTCGGCTTTAGCTTCCGGCTCCAGTTCAGTTTAACGGAAGTTCATGGGTTCCAAGACCAGCTAATCTGTGATAATTAACTAAACTACTCACATGAAGAGATCAGAATTCATGTGATAATCATGTGCACACTTTCCCAACGTTAATATCTGTACGTCACCCCTATGGAAAATAGGCTGCAGTCTGATAATTTATATAATTTTAAAAATTGATGTGGTTTACTATAATGTGAATTAGCGTTTAAATGTAAATTAAAAATAGACAGATTAACTAAACGATAGAAAAAATAATTCAATGGTAAACAAAAGCATAACAAAATAAAAACAGAATTTGCTATCTCACACTCCTTTTCGTAAACCGAAGTGATTACATTGATCACTCAAAAG